TTCTCTTCGTTGTTTACTTCTTACAACAAAGATGGCGTCGAGATTTCGGCAGCTAGAAAATAACTTTTTTCGTTTTTTCCTTCCCGCGTGATCTTGTGTCTTTCGTTCATGCGCATATTACTCTTGGCAAGCCATATTTATCAGAGCCTTTATCTCGATAATATTAATAAGTACGCTAACGAAATCCCATACTAGTATATTCCTCCTACTGCTCCTATTAATTATACAATTATTTAACAGTAAATATATCAATCCACCAAATAAATAATAGCCGTCATCGATTCGCCAACAGTAAGCGAGTGGCGAAACGAACGAACTCAATGAGGTACATCCAAACTCGCTATCGTCCATCTGTGCTAGTTAACTTTTTTGTTGCTTTCAATTGCAAAATTTTTCGTTAAGCGACCAGAACTAAACATAGGAATCAGCGAAGTGGCGAATCGATGGCGTCTAATATATATTAGTGACGTAGACGATCAAGAGTTGCTCATGGACCTAAAAAACGTCACAAACAAAATGAAAGTGTGTGAAAAAGTGAGGTATGTAGTCGAATTTCGACAACGGGGTGATACTAGTCTTGATAAATATGCCAGCAATTTGGTACTTTGACAGCTACATTTTCATTTGGCGGCAACATTATTGATATTTTAATATAAAAGCAAAAATTGAGCTCTTTTCTATTAAAATATTTGTTATTATGTACCTGCTTGGATATGAAATAACAAATTTTATAAATATATACCCAAATTCATAAAAAATAAAGAACACTTTAACTGCTTTATAAATCGAAATTTTGTATGAAAATGTCACTTTATAGAGCTCTTTAAACCTATTTTATTTTTTTATGAACAAGGCCAATAGTTTATAGCGAAAAAAATTCATAGATGAGAATGCGTTGAGCCGACTAAAATCCATAGTTGCAAATTCAATAAAAAACACTGGCAGCCAATGCCTTTCTTTGAATGACTTTTATTTAAGCAACTTATTAAACAACAATAAATAAACGAAAATCAATTGATCAATTTACGTAATTCAAGGTCAGTTGTTGTTGTTTTTGTTTTTTGCCACAACGCCAGTCCCACTCACTGCATTGTATTTCCACTCTCTTCATAGTTTGTGCACGTGAATCTGAATGTTCCGTTATACGGTTGTCATCCTCGTCTACTGGTGTGACGTGACGCGGTGAAATGAAGGCCTTTTGGACTACATATTGACTACTAGCCGGTGGGCGGAAGTGAGGAAACTTGACATTGAGTTCTCTGTAGACAGGAAAAATAGGTTTGGAAAAGTGTAAAAATAAAATCCACTGGCACAACAAATAACAACAATAACAAAGCAAACGATACGCTTGAAGTCTGGCAAAATTTTATAGCGGAAAGAAAAAGTCAAAGGGAAATTTCTGGTGCAGGCGAGATGGCGAAGGAGAGGGAAGGGAATGCGAAGTATTTCTGGCTTTTAGTGTTAAATTTCGATATTTGTTGTGGACAAATGCCAACGCAGAAATGGCAAAAAGAAATATACTCGAAAACAAAAAGCCAAAAATAATTAAAAAATAAGACTTTGTTAGTTCGCATTGCTTGCCTTTTAATGAATTGGAGCATTTCCACAAAGTGATTTGCACTTACCTACAAATATTCACGATACAATTGGCTATAATTAGCCAATTTTGAAAATGTATGTATGTATGTTGTACGTACATACATACATATGTATTCCGCATAGTTACGCGAAAGCTTTACTACCTTTTCTTGCAGGCATCAAAGAAGGCTACGTTTTAGTCTGATTTTTTTTTTTGGTTTTTTAATTTTCTGAACGAAAAATACTGGCAAAAATATGTCCCACTCCTTTTAACTTTATTCGCCATAGCTTGACCGGAAAGGCCCGGATTCCCAAATTCGTGTTTTCTTAAAGTGAAAGTTCTTTGCTCTCTTATACTAGGTTCACATATAAGTTAGGTTAGAACAAGAGATTAGCCATATAAAGCTCGTCCCTTGTTAATCTGTAATTATAAAATAATCTCAGATTTAACGGATAACTTTTCGGTGTCCATTCTAGTTTTATCGATTGTTTTTGCGAAAAAGAGGAGAAATGCCAAATGTAAAAGTAAACAAAAATGGACGCTAGCAAAGAAAAGAGGTTTGTAAAGGTATTTTTAATAAAATGTTAAGTTAAAATATATTTATATTGCTTATTATGGCAGAAAACCGTGATCACGGTGGCACAGAGAATAAACATAACTTTTCCTTGAGATGTGAGAATAACAAGCACAACAAATTTGACGGCAAATAATCTGAGATTTGCCTGTGTAAACGGGGTGATTAAAAAATGAGCTTTGATTGAGATAATATTGATATGTGAACATACTTTTAGGCCATACTATTCAAAACTAACTGCCGTACCTAAATTCGAGCGCTAAACGTTGTGTTTTCCAATGCCAACGAGTGCCACCGCGCGCTATACCCAAATCAACGCGTGTTTTGCCGATCTCCTTCTCCATTTCGTGTTCGGCTTTTGATGTTGTGACACAACACCGAAGAAGCTTTTTTATGGCAGAAGTACCCCCCGAAGGTTTGCTATTTTCTGCTGTAGCGCGACCGCTTTTTGGAAATTGAACCCTGCACGTCCCGAGTTGCAGTAGGCTCTAAGCACTCGGCTACGGCGGCAAAAGCAATAATCAAACAGCCTACTCATTACCTATTGCGGTATCCACGTGACTGTCTGAATATACCAGCCTTAGAGCCCTAAGCTTTGACAAATTTATAATTTTCAAGTTGATAACTAATATTTTTCTCCACTGAAATATGTGCCCGTGGCAGTTCTCTGGTACGTATGTGTATAATAATAAGTGAAAACATACCCAGTGGGAAATGATTAACAACTACGGTTGAACGAAAAGATGCATCGCAACGTAAGCGAGCGGATGATGTCTAGCTTTGAAGCCACAAACAAAACAAAAAGTTTGAAACTAACTCAAGTATGTTTTTTGCTCGCGTTATCTCAACAACTGCTGTAGCCGAATTGATGCGTGTTCGACTGCCGTGTTGTTGGTCACGGGTTCGAAACCTGTGTCACGGACTTCTTAATTTTTATTTATAGATTCTAGTTTCGTAAAGCGACATGAGACACATTACTTTCGTATGTCATCGCTGTGGATAAATTCTTGCATCTTTTCGTGCGTCGGTCTTAGGGGCTATCCATTAGTTTTTGCATTCCCAGACACTACTTTTTCCCACTGGGTAAGTTTCAATACATACATACATATGTATGTATAAATCTAATATGTACCCAATAAACATTTTTGTTAAATCTCAATTTGAGATGCATTTGATAGCGTTCTCAAACTAAAAAGCACATTTTTATTACTGAAGTTTCCTTTTACTTTCAAATGGAGAAATATTCAATTCTAAACTTTTTCTCAAGCATGAAATCGATGCATGTAAAAGACTTTTTATAGTAAAAGATTTTTTTGTTCGATTTATTGCATTTTCAATAGAGCATAAGCCTCTTTATCATACATACACACAAATAAGTTTTTTTAGCATACAAACATAATTTTATTTAAAGCGGGCAAATTGTTGCTCGCTTTCGATGCAGCAGACTGTTTATTTCTTTCGTTTTTAAGTTTTAATGCATTTCAAATCACTCGGACGAGGCGCGATTTTTCCACAGACAAAATGCGAATAACAACGAAATGCTAAAAAAAAATTTCCCAAATGTTTCTCAAACCGTCGTTAAGTTGATAAACAACATTTGAGAAAAATTTGAGAAAATGTTGAGTTTCGAATGATAAACAATGGTGAAAATCAAATTGAGAAATAAGATTTTCTCAAGCGTTTGGAAATTTGTGTGCCAGTGTTTGTTGGGTATGCATACGCTGTAGGGAATATCTCTAGCTCTGAACTGGTGCGCTTCTAGTGCATTTAGACCCACTACTCGTTCGCGATAAATCTCCTATTGGTTAGATTCCAGAAGGTCCCAAAATTTTGAAAGGCTAAAACAAGTTCTTAATTCGTCATTTTAGATATAGATGTCTAAAAATAAAATTGTTTTTTTTAAATTAACACATTTCGCTGCTTTTAAACTGGTGGCGATCTAGTTTCTATTGGCTGGTTCGTTTTTGGCGATACAGATCTAGTACGGAACTATAAATTTGATTCACCAGTTCGGGGTTTGCCTACAGGGTATGTTTGTACATACCTGTACTAATGGTTTTGCATGCCAGCCTTCTGGCCTTGAGTCAAGTATTCACACAATTGCGATAAAATTTGCTTTACGTTCTTGAACCCTACGTGAATACAAATACAATTCGAAATCGAATACATTTTCGCAACTTTGTATTTGCTTTGAATCGCTAGTCTTTCGACCTTGCTAAGTGTTTACCACTTCTACTGCTAAAGGTCGAAGGTTGCGTGCTAAGCAAGCATTTTTTATTCAATACCGTTATTTTCTTGATAAAGGGTTTGATGTGGCGTTATGTTTAGAGGTACGTTTTTTTTTCAAAAGTCTAATAAAAACAAATAAAAAAGTTTTCAAAATTACACGTTCGTCAGAAAATGCGAAATACTATGTGATAGCACATGCTAATCATATGGGCAAGGGAGAATTTACCTTAGGTTTTTGAAACAAATTATAACCAAAATTTGCTCCAGCTTTTGCTAAAAGGTAAATAAAAGCTCTGTGTACATACATTTTTAGGGCAAAATTTCAAAAATGCCAAATTTTTAGTGGTGTCACCTTTGAAGATCGTGTGGGATATAAGACAACCATTTTTTATTTGTTTTTAATATTGACCGCAGCTATTAAAATTTGTAGCTTAGAATAATTTTACTGCATTAAAATTGGTCACATCTGACTACGCTATTATCAGTAGGGCTCAGTTTTTGGTCATTAATAGACTAATGTCAACCCCCAGTGCTTTATTACAATATTCTGTTCAGTACTAAAAGTCCTTTTTGGCTTAATAAGCAAAATTGCCGCATTCGGAGAGAAGAGAATTCACGATGCCGCGTTGCATCAATAGTGGGATTCTTGAAGGTTTGCAAAACGCTTGCCAGGTGCACGGATTGCAAAGCTTTCACATAGGAAAACCGGTTTTTACCCTACAACAAAGGACTTCAACAAAGCACTCCAGTCGTTTCTTTTCTGTGTCAACTGACGCCATTGGAAACGCCAAGTGAAGCCAAGTCCTTCTCATTAAATTCTAGTCTAATAAAGTGCAAGTTTCAATAGGCTAATAGCTCAATTATGCATACTTTGCTCTGCTATGCTCATTTAACAGATTGCTTATGTGACAACTCTGATGTAACCCCAAGCTTTTCACAGTGTTATGACTTTTAGAAGCTTTTTTAAATTGTGTGGTAAAAATTTTTATTACGATTTTTTGTATCAGGAAATTAATGCTAGAAAATTGTCGTTGTAATTTTTGTACAAAGTTAGACCATAAATCCGGGCTTTCGTTAGACCGTTTCATTTTGTCGCGGGGTGTAAAACAGGTAAACATAGTACCAGGAAATCCTTTATTTGATTGAAAAACTGTTTCAAAAATACTTTACTGTAAAAAATGTTTTTTTTTTTTGTAAACTCAAGCTGCATTCGTGCGAAGATTTACTTTCAGTGACAAATATTCAATGCCTTCTAATAATATGAAACTTGAAAACGCGCATACTTTCTGAGAATTTGCCAAACAACTCGTCAATGAAAGGGCGAGTACAAGTGAATGTATGTAATGTACATACATATGTATATATTTAGGTACGTAATTTGTGCATTTCCCGTCTAATTGGCTTTATTTACCCATAAAAGCATTTGATGCCACTGGCTGTCGCTGTGCTTATTGCAACATTTCCCTTCATATCCTCCTAATTTAAGCTGCTTTTAACTCTGCAGGTGCAGGCACTGTGCCGAATGTCTAAAACGAATGGAAGTGTACTACATATTTTCTTGCCTTGGGCGCATAAGGCATATTTACTTCTACATGAAATTAGTTACTAGCAGTGAAACAAGAGTTTTAATGTTATTATTGAATTTCCTTATACATAATTTGGGAATATGATTAGATTAATAAAATGTATTTCTTTTACTTTTTTATCGATTACAGTGCTTACGGTTTTAACGTCATCCATAAAATATCACGATTACGTGACGGATAAAGGAAAAAATATCTCCATACCCTGCACAGCAGAGGGCAACGTTATGTGGGTAAAGGAAAGTGGAAACAACAGTACTATAATACAGGTGAGAGAGTGGACACTGACATAAATGTATGCACATTGTAAACATTTATACACAGCTATGTACATTCAAATATGCATGATAACGCTGCAGGAAATGTGTTTAACTAACTAACTTAACTAACTAACTAACTAACTAACTAACTAACTAACTAACTAACTAACTTTATGTTGATTAGGAAGGAGCTAAAAGTCACTTATTATCTGTATATTTTCTTTGACGAAAGCTAACTATATTTCTATGGCGATGGCCGCGAAATATTCAAGGGTGGTTTACCTCTGCATTTGATGCAACTAACTTGTAACTAACTTCTTTTGGACATAAAATATCAATAGGAAAAACAAAATATTTTTTTTATTTATTTAATTTTTTTTATTTTTTTATTTTTATTTACTTTATTTATTTTATTACATTTCATATTTGTTTACATATTCTGCTGTAGGTGGTCCCATATTCCAACTCCGTCAGACATAACTTGAAAATGATAATATGAAACTTCGATGTTCCTTTTATTTGTCCTCAATTCGAAAAGGTATTTGCGAAGTGCAAGATATTTAAATAGAAACGCGTTTAAAGAAAACGATCTCCTTCATTACTTCTGCATTACTTGTCAACTAGTTTCAAGTCAGCTTTTTGTAGCTAACTACGGTTATATATTTTATAGAAATCCCGCAAAAATTCTAACTACAAGTGGCTTATTTTTTATCAATTGATAATTTTTTTCTGCAGGGAAGCTTGCTTACATACATACATACTACGTTCACATTCAAAAATCTGTGTATTCGCGGTGTTTAAGAGTCTAAAAATTTAACTGAAATGGAATCAACTATTGAAATTCGAGCAGGCGTGAATTCTTGCGGTTGGAAATGTGGCGAATTTACATAGTGCATGGAAATCATTTCCAATTGAGAAAACACAAAATTTACCGTTACTTCACAAATACATACATACATATATTTATGTTGGTATGTACATTATACCACGTTAATAAAAAAATGCTGCAATGCGACCGCGGACCCCGACTGAAATCTTAGTATTTGGTTTATTAATGATCCTCCCCTCTCTACGATAATTGTAAGAGGTCGCGCATCGAGCATTTATTTTTCTTCTCTTTTGAGATCAAAATAATTTTCTAGGATCAATAAAAGCGGTGGGTCCAATTGTTCGGATGTATGTATGTATGTATGTTTTGACCAATCGCATGGTATTTTCGGTTTTTATAGATAAAATTGTAAGAGCAAATAGAGAAGAAACTCTAAATCGGAAATGAATTTCTATCTTGCCCATTTTTTAAAGAAAAACTTAATAGAAGATGGAGGCCCGCACTGCGATGGAAAGATCGAGTGGAGAAGGACTTAGCTTTCCAATTGGCATCAGTTGGCATAGAAGAGAAACGACTGGCGTGCTTAGCTGAACTCGGCCAAAATCGCTTAGGCGGTTACGGTGCCAAATAAGAAGAAGAGAATGGATACCAAATGCTTATATTTTAGTTTATAAAATTTTTAATTGATTTACCATATTTAGATACCTTGCACAAATACACCCCGTGTCAAAATTATAAATCCACCACATATTGACACGCCTTAACAATTTTATTTTTTTTTGTAAATATATAGTTTACTCTTTAATTCAAGTTTCAAACTTTGTGCAATTTCAAAAAAAAAAATCAACAAACATTCATAAAAATGTCAAGCTTTTTAGTCGGATTTCTTATAGCCGGCGTACACGGTGCGTCTGACTCGTGAGTCGGTTTGGATGTGTTTGTGAAAATAAATATGTGTTAGTTACTCCAACATGACTACCGGCATGACTCTGAATGATTCAAATGTGTATAGTCGAAGGCGAGTCAACACGTACACAAATGACTCGCGAGTCAGACGCACCGTGTATGCCGCCTATTAGAAAGATTTTGAGTACACAGAGACAGATATAGACAAATGTATACATAAATGCTCAGAATGAATAGAGAAGTTGATTAAGCCATGTCTGTCTGTCCGTCCGTCCGATAACTCGAGCAAAAATTGAGATATCCCAACGAAATTTGGTATGTAGGTTTCCCTTAATCCAAGGTAGGTTGGTATTGAAAATGGGCGAAATCGGACTGTAACCACGCCCACTTCCCATATTACGGTAATTTCCAAAAATACGAAAACTGCGATATTTTAGTAACAACCGACGATTATTCACTCAAACTTGATATTTACAATAAATTTCAGACGAAAAATAAGAATATTATAAACTTTTGGAAAGTGGGCGTAGCCACGCTCACTTATGGTTACATGTGTATATCTTGGTAACCGCTGCACCAATTTCGCCCACACTTGGCACTGTTGTTGGCCTAGGTACAGCATACCAAATGGCTGAAAATTTTTAGAATCGGACAATAACCACGCCCACATCCCATATAACGGTAATTTAGAGAAATACAAAATCTTCGATAAATCAGTAAATATTAAAGCTATCTTATTCAAAATTGATGCTTGCAGCAATTCTTTACCAAAAAATCCGTTTATGATAAAATTTTTGGAAATGGGCGTGGCACCGCCTACTTATGATCACATATATGTATCTCGGTAACCGTTACACCAATTTGTACCAAACTCGGTATGGTTATTGTGCTTGCCACGTAAAAGCAAAACGTTGAAAATTATTGAAATCTGACTAAAATTACGGCCGCTTTTCATATAACGGTAAATTTCAGAAATGCTTGAAACTTCAATATTTCGAAATTTAAAGACGCTAATTTACTCAAAATTGATACACCCCGGGGCTTACCATGTAGCGGTAGCTTTCGGAAAGTTGAAAAAACATTTATTTAATACTTGCGCCGGGTATTTAATGTTCGGCTCCGCCCGAACTTAGACTTTCTTACTTGTTTTATACTCTCTTAGTAAGCTTGGATTCCATAGTTTATCACGAAAATTTAAGTTTTTTTTTTATAGCCATATCACGTATCGTTATATAGCCAACAATACATTTTATAAGAAAAATTTATGAGAAAAGGCGAGGAACTTTAATATCGTGATAAGGTAATTTTTTCATTTAAAAATGCGCAAACTTCAAAAAACTTACGTCCACTTTCCAATTCGTTTTACCACTAAATATATTTTTAGCACAAACACGATTAAAGGCTTCTGGTCGAGCGAAAAAAATTTGTAGCGGTGACAAAAATATTTTCACAGATGAAAAAGTTTTCGACGATAAATTCCATTGAGAAAAAACTTGTGAACGATATCGCAGAACGTGGAGTTATTATTGTTGAATTAGTGCTTTAAAAACATTGCAGTAGTTCATTTCCATCAAGCATTAATTACAGTTTTTGCCTATTGGAGAAAAGAGATTACAACTCGAAGGGGTGTAGTTGCTCACATTCAGTGCAAATAAACGAAAGCCAAAAAGCAAAAAGTATTAAATAAACCTTTCCGATCACCCCATGTAAAAATTTTTGGAACTTAGCTGAGCTCTTAACTGCAGTTAAGCTTTTGGCGGAAATGAGCTACTAGAAAACTTATTGATGCGAGAAACTCATTTCTAAGGTTTATTTTTTAACTTTATTTACTGCTGCTATTGACATTTACAATGACTAGGAAAACACTTGGAGTCAGCATGGCGTATGAGTGATGTTTACCTGGTGATTTTTTAATTTCATATTTAATAATATTTAATGATGAGGTCCACTATTGAAATGAATTGGAATGTGGTCTTAGACGAGTTAAGCATATCTATGCTCATTGCTTAAGAAACAACAGACTTTTTGCAAATATTAATCTTTTGTAAGGCAAAAATTAGTTACTAACTATTAATAAACTTATATTAATTGTGTTCTAATAGAATGATATTGTGAAATCTACTTACAAAATTTCAGCAAAATCCTACAATATTTGATAAAAATATACCTATTTGTTTATAATGTTGCGAATAATAAACAATAGCGTTGAGCGACCTCTAAGTCTTGTTCAAATAAGCTGTAATTTTAGGAGGGACTTGTCTTTCCTATTATCTTCAAGAATCGGAATGTTCTCAATCGAAATTCAAAAAAGTTTTAGTTTTGCATCACCCTAATACACATACATACATATCCATGTATATACCCTGCAAAAACTTTTCACTTTTTGGGAAGTACTCATTTTTGTATCAATGCAGTAACGCAATACAAGTCGTCTTAAGACAATTTTCGCTTATCATGGAATGCAATGGCAAGAAATTTTACATTTATTCGATTACGTCCAATGACACGCACATGTTGAAATAATGCATTCTGTAAACGTATGTAAAAAGTATGGTTTGGAGGCGTCGATATGTGTGTCGTTCTCTCGATGCTGTAAAAAATTAAAAAACTTTGATTATTTATATACATTTTGTTGCCCTCAAACCTTGGTCTTAGTCATCGGTTTCAGACAACGTAACTTTTCGCAAAAAGCTCCTAAAAATACGCCTACTAAAACTCCAATCTGGCAACGGTTATTCGGATGAAGGCATTTTATATTTCATTATCACAGCACACAGAAATGAATATTTAGGTGGGTAAAGTTTCGTAATGATTTAGTAAATATCTGAAGAAAATAACAATTAAGTTTTAAAGATATTCCAGCAGTAAATTTCCACAGAAACACAATAAGTTATAAATTAATAAACGTTAAAGATTACTTGTATTGTGATAAAAAATAATCGATTAATCAATCAGCTGATAAATAATTTAGTCGAAAAACCCCACACCCCTAATTGTGCTTGAAAGTCATCACTTCGATAATCACTTCACTTTTCCACCCAAGTCACTCCGAAACACTCTTTACTTTTAGTGTGTTTTCACTTCGCTCGAAAATTATCAAACGGCAGCACTGTTGACCACCATCTCACATGCACACTCATACCAACATGAAAAAATCACTCATACGCCGTGTCGGCCATGAATACGAACGATAATTAAGGGTCAAAACATAGTGGAGCGGCGAGCAAAGCGAAGAGCTAGCATCGATCAAAGCTTCAATTACAAACGTGTGCTCTTTGCTCGCCGCTCCACTATGTTTTTGGCCTAAGTGATTCGCTTAAATGCGATAACTGCAAATTTTTAAAGTACATCATTGGTCGTGGTGGTAAATAATTCAGTTGCTTGGCTAAATCTATCTTTTATTTTCATTGCAGACTGGAAAATTTTTAATACTTACAAATATTTCGGCTGACGAGCGTGGTGTGTATGTGTGCTTTGCTGCGATTCGCCATTCTTCCAGCTTTAACTTTGACCCTAATGCAGACGCTGCTATAAGAACAATAAATGACGATAAGAAATCAATATCAACATTTTTGCCATTATTTGGCTCGTCATTGTCGACGTCACCAACGGCATCATCAGCATCATCGAAGTCATCAGATGATACGAAAATAGCAACAATTGTGAATGCAAGTGCAACAAATGCTTCAACTACCTCATCGCTTCCAATGCCAGTGCCCACAATAGCCGTAACAAAAAGCACAGCCAATATATCGACAGTGAAGCAAGTTGCATTTGCTAACAAAGCCACCACCACCACCTTAGACAATGGCGACCACCAAACAATAGGAGCAGTGTCACATGCTCAATTTAGCGAAAGTACTACACCGAACACAAGTCAAGGTGGTGTAACAGATGCAATTCTGGCTTTACAGCAAAATCACAAGCAGCTGGGTGATGAAGAAGATGAGGAGGCAGAGGAATATCAAGCAGTCGAAAAGGTCAATTTGACTGTGCGCACCCCACCAGGGCCTGTTACACAACTCTACTTCAAAGCGTCAACAATTCTGGGCTTTCTTATTTGGCGCTTTAATAAAGCCAATTCCGGTGGTTACCCGGTGCGCAGCTTTACTGCCGAATTTCGCAATGTTTCGTACAATGAAACACCCTACAACCATACGTTCGAGCACGAATGGAGTCGAATGGACCCTATTAATATTGCGCCGAATGTTGTAAGTTTAGATTTGTGAAAAACGCTACATATTTTATTATGAATTTAATAGATAAATACATACATACTTATGTATATATGAATATAAGTATGTATAGACCAACTAGTTATTATCTCAGTGACAACTTAGAAAGCATTAAACACCCCTTGTCTTGGATTACATCGAGCCCTATTTTTGATTTTTTCGTAAGCGACAAAAGGCAAATTTTACAGTGTAGGGTTTTCTTACTTCTCCCTTAAACTATGTAATACACACTTTATTTCCAATTAAATGGACAACTATGCTGTGGAGTTGAAACTTTAATTTATCCAACCCGAAGAGCCCTAAAACCCCTAATGTAAACTAATAACATTTGGTACCGAAAATAAAAAAAACATACATTTGCACATATTAGGGTGATGGACCTTACGAATCTATGGCCTTAAAAGGTCCTATTTATTGAGAAGAAAATTCTCCCATTTGGAAAAATTTGAAAATGTCTCGGTGGACATTTAAGATTTTCCATGTAAACAACACTTACAAAATATCTGAAAAAAAAAATCTGGGCATATTCTAGTGCGGCATTAAATGACCCTGAAGCTGGTTGTCTAGACTCAAAGATGTATACGGGCTATGAACGTCGAAAAAAAGCCGGTTTAGGGCTTTATGATTGGAAATATTTATGCTAAATGAAAAAAACTTTAACTAAAATGATATAAAATGTGTAGAAAATGTTGATTATAAACTAGATTTGTCAGAGTAGATAGAGTTTTAATGCATTTATTAATTTTTTATTACATTTTTAAACATTCATATTCTTTTTTGAATTATTAATAGTATTCAATTTATTGCAATTAAGATACGTGCTGGCGATGTAATTGCACTACTTGCAAAAGAAATTACGTTTTTTCTTCATGTTTCGTTAAAGTTTGATTACAATTTTGAATCAACACTACTTTGGAGTACTCAGTATCGATACTTTAAAAAATCGATTTCTCAGTACTTTCGGTTTGGATACTGCCCAACACTAATATGTAATTATAACAGACTGCCACTTACTCAATATGTTAGTGTTTAGCCGAACTCCTCCTCCGATGTGTGACGTGCGCCTTGATGTTTGACACACAAAGGGGAAGGACCTACAGTTTTACGCCTTACGACTCCGAACCGCGGAAAAAGTGCACTCGAATGTTTGCCATTATATGTAAATAAAATATACCAAATAAATGATTTCAACAACATATCGGCGTATTGACAATTATCTATTAGGAATTTAAGTACATACATATGTATGTAAGTCCCTTCTCCCTTTCACTCGAGCGTAGTCATAACTATAAACTATAAACTAATTATTTCCATGACAAATAATAATTAGCCATCTAATAATCTATATGGTTTGCATGCAACAGATAGCCCCGGTTGTTCTGTTCTTAAATATATATATATATATATATATATATAT